AATAAACGATTACTATTTGTTCCCTGACTTGTGTCTTTTGCATACTCGGTGCCGGCCTCTCAAGACCAGATTTATTCCCCATTTTTCACAACAATCCCACAAATGGCATTTGTCCTCAGCTCCCACCACCTCACTTCCAAAGAAGGTTCATTTGTGATTAAACAGCTGGAGAGTTGCGGGCTCCCAGGCAACATCTCTTAGCTGACCCTTGACTCACTGCCGTTCAGAGTCTCTCTTCATAATATCATATGTGGCAGGGCAGAAGTGAGAATGCAGCTGAGCCAGCAAAACCTGGGATGTGATCTCTAGCCTTGTCCCTTGGCTCTTTGTGTTCCATACATGGACTGCATAGGTGTTATTAAAGAGCTGGTGAAGCTCTGAGGAGCTGACCACTTCGAAGTATTTCTTCCAGTCCTGCCACCGAATGGGATAAAAAGCTTCACGGGGCAGAGCACTCACTCCTTTACAGCTTGTACTGCTCCGAAGACTCCTGATGGAGCACCACTTCTTGAAGACACGCGTCAGTAGCTGTGGGCCCTGGTGCCCCCAGATCCAGCTGTTGTAGTTCTCCACAAAGTCCTGCATGCAAAGCTCTATGAACTTGTGTTTGGGTTTGAAGGACAGAAAGGCACCATTCAGTACATACTTGGACTGGGTACCAAGCACATTGGTGAGGTTCTTTAAGTTCTTAAGCACAATGAAGTCCGTGTCCAGATAGATGCCACCAAATTTCCACATGATGGCAATTCTGCAGGCGTCCGACAGGACGGGTAAGAAATATGGCTCCCAGCGCTGCTGAGCCTGTAAGTACCACTTTGCCAGAGGTGTTCCAGAGAAAAGCTCCAGCAAGTCCAGGGGACGGATTTCCACGTTGGGGAAACAGCTCAGCAATGAGAAGCCCCAGTGCTTGGGTAACGAGGCGTTACCATTTGCCAAGCCTTTCATAAGCACCACAACCCTTGTCCCAGGGTGCGTCCTGGCTGCTGATTCCACAGAGCACAAGAAGAGGTAACTTGGGTCAATTCGCTCGGAGGTCTCCACAAAAAACACGTTCCCTGGGGAAGGAGAGGGTCCACCAGCAATGGTGTAGGGAGGAGAAGGCACAGAGTGAGCACAGTGGATTTCAACAGGCAAGCCATAGTACTGGCTCCTGCCCTTAGAGTCCTCCATGATTCTCCAGTAGAACACGATGGAGGCAAAGCACATGAGCTTAAATGCGATGATAAACAGAGCCACCCTGGTCAGTTTTGGCAGGCAGCTGGGCATCCTGAGCATTCTCGCTCTCATCAGAGCCTGCTCTCCCAAAACAACCATCATGATCTGAAGGGGAGGAAAGAAAAAAAAGACATTGACAGGGAAGGCAACGGACTGCAACCCTCAGGACAGCACTATGGCAGAGCTGCATGCTGAACTCTCTCCTTCATGCTGGCATGCTTGAATTGCATCTTTAGGTGATCTTTAAAAAGGGATCTTGGCTTCTCCATGCTCCTACAGTGCCCCCATTAGAAACCATAGCCCATGTGCAGGTTGTGAGGTTATGTGACAAAGCTCACCTGCACACCCACAAAAAGCTCAGAGAGACAATGGCAGGAAGGGGAGCCCAAACATACCCTGCTTGGCTACTCCCAGGCCCATCACAGGAGCCATCAGCCCATCAAAAGCCCATCTGCACAAGCCCAGAGGAGCACAGGAGCACAGTGGCAGGCAGGATCCTGGATCAAGGACTCCAGAGGAACGAGCACACTGTCTGGGCCCCTTCCTGGGCTGTCCCAGTATCCAAGCATGAAACCCATCACCAGCATAACCCAAAGCAAGTTCTCCAGATCACCTTTCAGACTAAGGGGATCACTGCGTATGAGTGGGACATATTATGGGGTGTAGGGGAAGAACAGTTTGGAATTGCACAGGACTTAAGAGATATTTAGCAAAGGGACCAGAGATGGGGTGAGGGAGGGGTTTAGCTGATTTTGGGAGGAACAAGAGTGGGAAAATAGAGGTGTAAGAGGATAACAAGGGTCAGATACAGGTAAATAACATGCTAGTCAGCACGCTTGTCTGACTATGCCCTGTGCCTGATCAGTGCGGTCTCTCTTGTCTCTTCTTGTTGCATTTCACTTTTCCCCTACCATGTTGTGAGTGATCTCCCTATCTTGACCCACCAGCCTTTCGTTTTATCGTCTCTCCCCTGTCCAGCTGAGGACAGGAGTGATAGAGCAGCTTTAGAGGGCACCTGGCATGCAGCCAGGATCAACCCACTACAAAACATAAAGAGACATGTTGCAGCAGATAGAAGAGTAGAGCTGAGTTTATCTCCCAGAAAGTCCAGCAGTTTTTAACAGTCTGAAATAAGGTGTGTCAGGCTCCTGCAACACACAGTCTGTCATCCCCGTACCAACACCTTCCTCAAAGCCTGCACAGTCTAAGTGGTGCCAGGCTCTTAATAAAGAAAAGAACCAGTAAGGTTTCACAAGGAATATACTCTCTAAAGAAAAAAAGAAAACAATTAATATGAAATTGTCTGAAAGATGCAAAACATCTTAGTGTCTTCTCTGCTTCAATCTTTGTTTCCCTTGTGGTAAAAGTTTGCATAATTTAAAAGAAATAAAAGCAATACAATCCAACAGTGAAACCAGAATTTTTGTGAGATAGACCGAAAATGTACATTATGTAATAGAGAATTACATGATGCCTGCTACAGATAGCTATGGGTCACCTTACTAACAGAATTTTCCATTTCAGATTAATCATTCTACAGTCGAGAAAAAGAAAAATTCCTGCTGAGATTTTTCACCTCAGTTTTTTTCCCTCCACTTGAACAAAAGCCATCCTTATAATCCTGTGATCTTTCAACACATCTTCAGTCTCTTAGAGCAACTGTGACTGCTTTGAAGTGTTTCTACTTGACCTGTAGGCAGTGACACAACAGCAGCTACCACTCTCTCTTAAGTATGTTCAAGCAGAGGCACCATGAGCGGCTCCAATCAGTTGCAGTTTTGATGTGCAATGAGCTGTTTTCATCTGTTTTGGAGCTGGCTAGAAACAGCTGGAACCAGCACAGGGCAGCCCATGGCCCCTTTCTACACAGGTCACCCCTGCAGCTCCCCAAATCCCACCAGTTACACCTAATACAGAGTATCTTGTGATGTTTAAATATAGACAAGTCCCTAGCTTCTTTTTTTTCCTCTGTAAGGGTGAAATCTGGATTTGGATGTTGGATTATCAACTGGTGAACAGCTCTTCACTACCTAGTGCAAGTAAAAATTATTATAAAACACGTTAGATGGGCAAGGTTACTGACTGCCCGAACAACTCATGTATTTATTTCCCTTTGTGGTAACATCTTCTTCCAAATGTTCACTGTATAGTTCTTTAGAAAGTCTTCACACAAACAAAGACAATAAGCTACCATAACTGATAAGTCATCATTTACCTGCTTGCAAAGCAAAGGGGTGGCCAATTTACTGATGGCTTCACGTTTAGGAGAACTCAATTTATAATTTGCTCAAGCCTGTTAAAAGCTTACCCTAAACATCTCCCTAACACATGCCAATTCACTGAAGGTGATATGGTAGAAGTTTAGAACATTTCTGGGTAGTCACCGAGGTGAAGAGCTCCAGAGTGAAGGATCATGCAGAGGATCATGCCAGAGGACCTTGCTGAAGTGACAAAAGCAGCTAAACTGTGGGAAAAACAAAAACCAAGTGCGAAGGCAAAGAGAGCAGGGAGAGAGAGGGTGCCCCAGCCCACCCTCGGAGAGAGAGAGGGTGACCCAGCCCACCCTCGGAGAGGGGAACCTGAGCCCCTGAAGGCGATCAGTGCTGACTCACCGTGGGCGGGGACAAGCGTGATGGTTAAGCCCCTTCAGGTAGAAAAGCAGCACCCAGCAAGCGCCAGCGACCCGGAGCACTGCAAGAAGGACAGGCAAACAGGGCATGGCACATCAGTTCAAGCAGGCAGGCGCTGAGGTTTGGCCACAGCAGCCGGTTAGCAGTGGTTACCACCAGGCAGAGAGCCAAGGCCTCCCTCACCCGTGCACCCACCAAGGCAGATGCAGCTTGCCAGACAGACCAACAGTGTTGAGCTGCAGGGTGTACCCTGCTCTTATGCCGGCGTGTGATGGCAGCAGTGACCATGCCTGTGGGAGGTGTGCCCAAGTGCGTCCACCGCATAGTGGTGGAGCTCAGGGAGGAGGTAAGTAGGCTGAGAACGATCAGGGAGTGTGAGGAGGAGATAGACCATTGAAGCCGTACCCTCCCATCCCTGAGGCAGGCCCAATGGTTGGACGAAGCTCATGAGAGGGAGGCAAAGGGCTCCCTAGCCTCTCTACACCAGGCTGACCATAGCAAATGAGTGGGCTTAGAGGAGAGGGACCAATAAGAATGGAAACAAGTCTCTTCCCAGTGCAACAGGTGTGCCCTCCCCCCAGTAACTGCTCCACCTTCCCAGGTGAGAGGGAGGCAAAGGGCTCCTTAGCCTCTCTACACCAGGCTGACCATAGCAAATGAGTGGGCTTAGAGGAGAGGGACCAATAAGAATGGAAACAAGTCTCTTCCCAGTGCAACAGGTGTGCCCTCCCCCCAGTAACTGCTCCACCTTCCCAGGTGCCCTTGCAAAACAGGTATGATGTTCTGCAAGGGCAACCGAACAAAGAGCAAGAAGACAACTCGCCTAGCTCGGAGGCACCGTCAAGGCTCAATCAGAGGAAGCCACGCATAAAAACGTCTTCAAGTAAGAAAGACAGACGGGCCCTTGTCATAGGGGACACCCAAAGGGAGTGGAAGGTCCTATTTGTAGATGAG